GCAGCCTCCAGGGGCCGTGTAGCAGCCTGACATGATGCACAGGGTCCCCACGACCAGAGGAGGGCGGCTGGTCAGTCCACCAGCACGGCCGTAGGGATGGCCGGTGCCTCGGTGACACCCAGCTGGCCCCGAGCAGCAGCGTGCCCCCTCCTCGGCATCCCCCCTCCTCTGCGGCTGCGCCCCCAAGCCCGGGCCAGCTCAGGACGGCGTTGACGAGGGCCTTCCAAGCGAGGAGGCAGCCCTCAGCACGCCCGCACCTCGGCCGCCGTGTTCCGGAAGCTTCTGTGCAAGTGCTCACCCTTCCATCCACGGGGCACGGCTTCACCGACGCGCTGGGGAAGTAGCCTGACTTCCTGGTTTGCAGCAGCCGGCCCTGGAGGGGACAGATGGTCAGGGCCGGCGGGGCCGGCAAGGGGCAGCGGCCATGGGGGTCGGGGCGGCGCTGTAACGTGTGCTCAGTTTCCTCAGGAAAAGGACAGGATAAGGCCAGTTCCTGAGAGGCGGGTGATGGCGTCGCCTCCCCGGTGTAGCCTCAGGTGACCTCGGAACCACGTGGGGCGGGAGGGTGAGGGATGATGTCCCCACTTCACGGACGTGAACACCGAGGCCCAGAGAAGTGAAGCGGGCTGGCTGGGAGCTCGGACGCCGGCCCTTCTTCCGCCAGAGGGCAGCGGACCCAGTCGGGGACGGTCTGGGGCGGGGCACGGCCTCACCCTCCCAGGTCCCTCTGCCTGGAAGAGCCCCGCACGGTGTTCCCCGCCTCAGCCCTCTGCTCGCGCCAGCAAAGTGTCTCTGCGAGACCACCCAGCGACAGCTGAGGGCCCTGGGCACACTGGGGCGGGGGGGCTGGGGGTGGGGTCCAGTGGGGCAGACTGCGCAGACACCCTCCTGCACCCTCCGCATCTCTGGGTATGCGGGGGCACCGCCAGCACCGCACGGGGACCAGCGAGCGTGTGCTGATGAGGACACCGCAGAGCCACGGTGCCCCGGCCAGGCCCAGCGCCTGAGCTCCGTGGCTCCGCGCTGCCTGAGCGTGTGCTGATGAGGACACCGCAGAGCCACAGTGCCACTCCGAGCGGGACGCCCCGATGTCCCAGCCAGGCCCAGCGCCCGAGCTCCGTGGCTCTGCGCTGCCGCCCGGGGCCTCAGAGCCCCTGAGGACGGGGCCTGGCAGCAGCGCCTGGGGCAGCTGGCCCCGCAGCGCGACCATTTCAGGCCTCGTAAATGGTTGTTTCATGGCTCA